CCTCTCTCTCTCTCCCCTTCTCTCCCTCCCTCTCCCCCTCTCTCTCTCATAAAGATATATCCAGGATTAGGTAGTAACTAGTTAAAATATTAAAAGTTAAAAAATTAATAACTTTTAATTTAATTTAATTAATTTTAAATGCATTAAATTTTAACTTAACTAAGTTACTTTTAAACGTTAACTTTTAACTTTTTTTTAAGTTAAAAAATTTTTTTATCTCTTTTAAATATCTTAAAAAAATAATAAGATATAATAAGATTAAGGGCGTATATTCTATATAATCTGTTCGTATTTTAAGCCATCTTAAGTAATTTCTTAAGATGCTTAATGTTCTCTGATTAGTTTATGCGATTATATCTTATGACATAAGCCTTAGTCCGGATCTACAATAGATGTTTTAAGCCTTAAAATCATAAGAAATTGACCTTTGAATTACAGTCAAATATTCTTCTCGCATCTCTCTTCGATTGTAATTGGTCAATTTCTTATGACTTAAGACTTATTAAAAAGTAATCACTGATCTTGTATTTTCTCTATGTGCTGGCTGTTTTTTTAAAGTTATATAACTTATATAGTTATATCATTATGTATTATATCACATATGAATAAAAAAATTAAAAATTTAATTTAATTAATAATCTATATTGCATTATTTAATCTCATTTTAAGAAAAATTAGAACATTATGATCTAAAAAATAATTTTTTCAAAATTAACTTTTTTTTTAATTTAAGTTAATTCAATATTGACTTAACTTACGTTAAGTTAATTTTTTATTCTTTCAACTTTTAACTTAACTTTATTAATTTTGTAAAGCCATTAACTTTAACTTTATTCAATTAAAAATAAACATTAACTAACCCAACCCTGGATATATCTGTAATATTATAGTCGACTATTTAGTTTTTATAGTTCTACATTTATATATTCTTTGTAATATTAATCGAAATATTACGTAAATATGATATCGTTGGCATTATATATATATTTTACATAGAATTCTTTTATTAGTATAAATATAAATTAATAATAAGCCGTAACATTTATAATGCATAATTTTATAATGTCATATCTTTATGGTATAGTAAAAATAGAGAATATTATCAGTACTAATCATTTTGCGAATACATAATGCTCGTTATAATTAATAGTATTAATACACATTGAATTAATAGTATTAATACACTGTAATGCTTAGCGTATTTTACATGTCTTATTGTTTACATATTATATCATAGTGATATTTAAATCATAGTAAAATCGCTATAATAGAATACAATAGTATAAAATATCAAGTAATATATTTAAATTATAATTATATCATCATGTGTGATATATTTTTCTGAAGAAGTCATTTTGCAAAAATATGACTTTTTTAATAAAAAAAGCTAAATCGTCCATCAGATACATCAGATGTTTTCATCTTAAATTTGTGTAAAGAATCATCCTTCAAAAGCTTTTAAAGAACTTAACACGTAGAGTTCCCTTAGAGCTTAAAGAACTTAACATATAGATCCCATCTAATGCTAAATATTCATAAAGTGTTCCAAAAATAACATTCTAAAAGTTTTCCGCAAAATATTTATAGAATGTAAGAGCAACATTCGAATAATTGTTCCATTTATATATATATCGTTATATATTGGAAATATGTTTCATATACATCCTGCAAAAATTGTAATAATCTCAAAAATTTCAGGCGTGGAGAATTAATTTCTCAAATTAATTTTTACTGAATTGATTTTTGTAATATATAGAATAAAAGAATATATGTGCATCAAACATTTTGAACACTTCATGAATGTTTAAACATTCTATAAAAATTTTTTGCCCTTCCAGAAACATTAGGAATACAAATCGAATTTTTCAAATTCAAATGCCAATAATCCAAATGTAAAACCAATACATTATTATTTCATGATTTTTAGATAACCATAATGACACTCCTTAGCTATCTTCTTCGAAATATAGGATACTTAGAAAATACTGATGATGATCATATTACAAAACAGATAAGACTAGAAGCTATAAAATGGGCATGTAACATCGATGACAAGTTTTGTAAGAATACGATCGCTTTTAAATTGAACCAACATTTCACGGATCTAGAACTTTACAGGTAACTTTTATACAATTTCAATTATTTTATAAATTGAATTTGTGTGTGTGTGTGTGTGTGTGTGTGTGTGTGTGTGTGTGTGTGTGTGTGTGTGTGTGTGTGTGTGTGTGTGTGTGTGTGTGTGTGGTGTGTGCAAGCAGCATATCGATATAACCCAAATCAAACAGTCTCCTTACTGTTTTCCTCAATCAACATTCTATGTTATTCTAATAACGTAATGTAAGAATATGACGTTGTAAGTAAAAATATCCAATAAATTGTTAAGCGGTTTATCGATAGAATCATTTTTGTTTCTTCATTGTAAAATGATTAACATGTAAAACGAGTATTATATAAAATGGAAAAGTAGCGCAGAACGGGAATTTAATTTTATAATGTAAAGTAGCTTAATAAAGCATAGAACATTAATATATGAAACTTGATAAAATAAACAATTATTCATACATATGAAATATATGTATCTTTTATTGATATAGACAAATTTTTTAGAATGTTACCAGGACATAATTTTATGTATTGTATTGGTTTAATGGCAGCCAATAGAACTACTTGGGATAAAATGTTGGAATTATATCAAAAGACAGATCCAAAAAAGGAAAAATTTAAAAAAATGTTATTAAAAAGTTTAAGTTGTTCTGAAAATTCTGATATTATCATCAATTATTTAAATATTACATTTAACACTTCATTATTTCATAGAAAGGAACATGCTTTTATCATCAAGTCTGTTCTCGATAAGCATTCGAACAACAATTTGATCCTTGATTATATATTGAACAATTTTGAAACTATAAAACCCAAGTAATATCATTTCTCTTTGTAAATATAATTTTTTGAATCATAAAAATTTAATCATGAATATATTACTTTGTCTTTATAGATCACAACTTACTACAATAATAATAATAAAACTTATTCTTCGGAACGTTTTTTACGATGAACAAATCGATAAGGTATGTTTTATGATTCTAAATTTACATATTTATTGACTTATCGACTATCAAATCAATAAAGCTAAACTAAAAAGTTGTGGCGCATTTGAAATAAAAACCACTTGTTGCGATAAATATAAATTATTTCAACTTTATATATAATTAAATTAATAATAATATTAATAATTAATTATGTTTGCATCTTTAAACTATTTTTGAAAAAAAATCATGTTGTAAAATTGGATAATACCGTGCACATTTTAAAATCTAAATTGAATTATGATATAAGAAATTATAAATATACTTGTTATCAAACATTTTCAATTAATCTGTTTCAGATAAAAGTATTTTCAGACATTAATTTTGATCATGACCCAGAAACTTTAAATGCAATTAAAACACTGATAGAAAAGCGTAAAAATGAACTTCAAAGATATTTAGATACTTTTAAAAAATTGTTTTTTTAGAAGAGCATCAACTTTAATGATCAACTCTTGAGCCAATCAATCAAGAAGAAATATAATAAAAAACATACATTTATCTTAATATATAATAAACTTTCTAAACTTTCTAAAAAATATTTTTACTTGTTACTGCCATTCGTGAATAAATTTTTAGGTATTTTCAATTATTTCTAACATTTTTCAATGCTGTAATACTTAGTAATTTTTAATTACTAAGTAATAATTTTTAATTATTAAGTAATAAAGGAAGCCCTATATA